CAGCTGCTACTCCCTGTGGGCAAATTTGTCCTTCGATCTTAGGACCCTAGCTCAGGCCCGACTAGGAGCGCTCCCTGCCCAGGAGGCTCGTGGTCCAGAAGCAATAATACACACAAGGCGCCCTGCCCGGGGCTGTGACAGGCAGTTAGGTCAGCATTTGGGAGGCTTCCTGGACTCTGACCAGTTGGGGCTTTGAGGCAGTACAGCCTGGAGGCAGCAAGAAGTGGGTGCTCCATGAGGCCTCATAGCCTTCAGAGCCTCAGCTGATTTCCGTGGGCACTTCCTGAGATGCTGTGCCTTTGTGTTCCCACAGACCCTATGAATGCACTACAGAGCCTGACTGGCGGACCCGCTGCAGGAGCAGCCGGAATTGGCATGCCTTCTCGGGGCCCAGGACAGTCCCTAGGTGGGATGGGAGGCCTTGGTGCCATGGGGCAGCCAATGCCTCTCTCTGGACAGCCGCCCCCCGGCACCTCAGGGATGGCCCCTCATGGCATGGCTGTTGTGTCCACGGCGACTCCACAGAGTGAGTACCACCATTTTCAGAGAACCTGCCATTTTCTTCGGAAGCGGCATGCATTTTATTCCTTTGCTTAAGGTGGTTGGAGAAGCTCCAAGGAGCTGTCTTTTTATCTTTGTTGGTGTGATGAGAAAAGGCTCCAAGCCTTCTGTGGGCTACCAGAAGAGTTAAGTGACACTGAGGCCCTCTTCCTAGCCCGGGGTGAGAGTGGGGGACTCGGAGGAGGTTGGAGTGATCTGGGGCTCCATCCAAGGGCTTGTATTTTGTAGCTGTAAGAGAAACAGTTATGTCTCAGGAGTGTTCTTGGTCCTGAACAAGTACTGTTAGCATCTCACAGCGCCTAGACTGCCCCGCTCTCAGGAGCCGTCTCTTCCAGTGCTGCCCTTGTCTTTGCACTTCTCTGCAGCACATGGCCCCTTGTCTTCTGTACTCGGCTGCCCCTTCCAGGAGCTGGACTGGAGTGCAGGTCTTTTTTTCTTTCCAGGACCCCTCTCGATGGACCTTGGATAAACATTTACTTAGTACCTGGAATGTACTTCAGGACTTCAAAGTGCTTTGATACTATTTTTCCTTAATAGAACATTTTATTTTTGGAATACTTGAGTCACAGGAAGTTGCAGAGTAGTGCAGAGTTCCCATGTACCCTTCACCTAGCTTCCCCAGTGATAAAATCTTAGTACATCATCAAAACTGAGAAGTGAGCATGGGGACAGTGCTCAACTCGGAGACTATTCAGACGTCAACAGTTCCTACATGCATTCTTGTGCATGCACTTACATGTATGTAGTTCTATGAGATTTTATCATATGTGGAATTGAGTAACCATCAGCACTGTCAGCATGCAGAACTGTTCCATCACCACCAACAAGCTGTTGTATATCTCTTTTTTTAAATTATTTTTTTATTGATTTTTAGAGTGAGAGGAAGTGAGAGGGATAGAGCGATAGAAACTTCGATGAGAGAGACACAATCAGCTGCATCCTGCACACCCCTTACTGGGGATCAAGCACACAACCCTGGCATGTGCCCTGCCTGGGAATCAAACCGTGACTCCCTGGTTCATAGGTTGTCGCTTAACCTATGTCTCTCAGCTGGGGTATCGTATACCTTTTTTTTTTTTTAATATATTTTATTGATTTTAGAGAGGAGGGGAGAGGGAGAGAGAGATAAAAACATCAATGATGGGAGAGAATCATTGATTTGCTGCCTCCTGTATGCCCTCTACTGGGTATTGAGCCTGCAACTTGGGCATATGCCCTTGACCAGAATTAAACCCGGTACCCTTCAGTCTGCAGTCTGACACTCTATCTGCTGAGCCAGCCTGGCTAGGGCTGTTGTATACCTTTTAATAATCACACATGCCCTCCAACCCTAAGCCCTGGCAGTCACTGATCTGATCTCTATAATTGTGTCACTTTGCCAATGTTTTATCAGTGGCATCATATAATGTCTGACTTTTTGAGATTGGCTCTTTTTATTCAGCATAATGCCCTTGAGATCCTCCAAGTTGTATTAATCATTCACTCCTCTTCATTGCTGAGTAGTATTCCATGAGTGTCTCAAGGACTGAGTGTGCTAAGTTTACTTATGCATTCACCCTAGAAGGACATTTGGGTTGTTTCCAGTTTGGGAACATAAAGCTGCTGTGAACACTTGTGTATGGGTTGTGGTGTTTCAATGTATTTTTGTTGTGTATCCCTCATCGTAACCTATGAAGAGGGCCGTGTCATTGCCTCTGCTTTCCCCAGAAGGTAGCATGACCTATAGCTGGGGTCAGACCCAGGCTGCCTGGCCTGAGCGCCCTGTTCTTTGTTGGATTTACCGTATTAGCATTGCCTTGCTCTTCTCAGATGGCACATGTGTTCTCATTCTCACCACTCCTGCACTGGAACCGTCCATCCCCAGCCATCCTCTTCCTCCTCAGGTCTTCATTCTCTTCTCCTTACTGATATCTTGCCATCAGACTCTTAGGTCTTCACTTGGTTCTTCATCTTGAGCTCCTTTGCCCCCCTTTGTCATGCCAGCACACCTGAGACACACACGGGCTAGCTTATGGAAGAATGTGTAAGAGAGGTACCGGCCCCGGCTCCTTCTTACATTATACTCTGGTGTACTGGTTGAGGTTTTTTGTGTTTTTTTTTAACACAAACTTATATTTTATAATAAAAAATAGTTTTAAAATGTGTGAGTTGAGAATGCTCCTATCTATGATTTGTCTTACAGTCTCACACCTATGACTTTGTCAGAAGTTCAGTGGCAAAAGCTTTCATATCTTCCCCAATCTGACCTTGACCCACATCCTGTTTTCAGCTTCAGAAGGACCTGGTCTCCTGTGTGGCACTAGAGGAAGTTTGAAGTGGGCTCTCTACTTTCATGTCCTGCTGCTGCCTCTGGTAGAGACCTTCCCTCCCTACCTTTGACCTCTTGCCTGCCTGGTCTACCTGAAATATGTGTCATGGCCCAATGGGCGTTTGGTCTCCCTTTCTCACATTTTTTCCAAATGCCACTGTGTGATTAAGGCCACTTCAAGCCATAATCCCAGAGGGCAGGGCCTTAGAGGTTTTGCCAGGGTTCTCAAAGGGCAGACTTGTGATAGTCTCCAAGTGACCCAGGTTAGTCATAAGAAACACAAACTTTGACTGTGGGTAAGGCTGTGGGCTGGGGTACAGGGTTTTAGCGAGACTTATCCCTCTGAACATTTTTATTCCTCAATGAATTTTGTATCATGTGCATGTCAAAACCGACTTTAAAAATCAGTCCTATTTCTGGCTGTTTGACAGACTGGGTGCTGAGGAACCCTCCTTCTTCTGGATAACTAGATCCTGGGTAGGCTGCATTTTGGATTGCTGGGCTGGCAGAAGTAGGGGATGCGCTTTCCCTTGCTGTGCCCTGGCTCACTGCAAGATAGGTGACCTGGGGGCTTGCAGTTTTGGGGAACCTCCATCCAGTAGGATTTGTGCTAGGGCCCTTGGCATCCCTAGCACCCCCAGAAGCAAGGGCAGATTGGAGGAGAATGCTTCCAAAATTAGTACTGTTGGAACTGCAGTTAAGGCCAAGCATTGAGCACACAATCAAAGATCAGTAGGTATGAAAGGAAGCAAAGGCACCATGAGGAAGAACAGAAACAATAAACAGATGTGGAAATCCCCAGGGACCACACACACACACACACACACACAC